GATAATAGAAGATAATAATAGTATTAAATAGATTTAAATAATAATAATTATTAACCTTATAGGAGTAGCTATAGTTTACTATAGACGTAGCGCTTAACTTTAACCTAGTAATAAGCTATATATTATTAATAAACGCAGATAGTCTAAGACTAACTACCTATAGTTAAGTAAGATAATAGGTCTATATCTAGCTTTATAGTACTAGGCTCTTTATACTAATACTATTACTATATAATATACTAGTATTTATTAGGTAAGTATATTATCTATATATTACGCTAGACTATTATTAGATATACTAACTTACACTAATTACTGCGCAGTTATACTACTTATATACCTATTTAATTTATATTATACTATAGTTTTCTAAAAATAAGTAAGGTACGTAGTAGATAGCCTTATAATTATATAGGTATAGGCTAATTATTACGCAGGTATAGGCTAATAATTAGGTAGTTTTAGGCCTGTTAATTAGGCGGGTATAGGCTATTAATTAGGCAGGTTAGGCCTAGGGACAGGATAGGCAATAATGTACTAGTAGTTTATATAAGGATACTAAAAAAAATCTAATACTATTATTACTATACCTAATACTTATATTTTATCTTTTATAAACTACTTTATATACTCTACTAATAGGTCTATTATAAACTACTTTATTTACTCTACTAATAGGTCTATAGTAAACCACACTATATTTATACTATAAAAAAGTAAACCACTACTTTAAACCTATTTACAGGTATACACGAGGTTAGTTTACACCTATATAGTAAACCCCTAGCGTACCATTCTATAGTAAACAATTTTTTACCGTAGTGATTACTGGTACCTATTTGAACTTCTTATGTTGGAACCAGTAAAGATCCTCAAACAACAGAAGTCATTCCCAGTCGCACAACGTGAAAGCTTTGGCAAATGACGTGGCAGCGTGGCTGTCGTAACGCCAGCCTCGAAGCAATGTGTGCTCTATTCCCAGCCAATACTCCTACACCCTCTACTGGAAAGCGACCTGGGGCGCAGTGATCGGCCTTGAGGAGCTGAAGTTAATTTCTCTTTACTAAGCCCCATTTAACACGTGATCTGATTAATCTCTACAGAATGCGGGACGCAGTGCTGACTGCCAGATGTAAGCTGTGCCACACTCACAGTTCCACCCCCACGTCAAAGAGAAAATGCCATCGCGCATTGGGCAGGTGCTTGGTCACCTAGAAAAACGAGTTGAAACTAAAATTTAGTATTCACAACACCAGAAATCAACCAATATAGACATGTTACAGCTTCAAAATCGATCTCCATATGCCTATATTATGCTGCTTTCTATGAGGTTTTAGTGGGTGGCGACATCCGGGCGGCATGCCCAGAACGATCATTTTTTTGACATGGGGGTGGTTCAATCAAAGTCCTCAATCGCAAGAAGCCGAACTGAAAGCATGATAGCCGAGCATGCTTTATTACGTTATTGTAATACAGCAATGCAACCTCTACTGAATAAAGTAACTGCTAGGTCCGCCGTGGCTAGATGCCATATGTGATCTACCATCCAACTTCTGCTCAACAATCTCACCCTTTGAGCGCTCTTACCACCATAATAGATGGGAGACTCACCTGGGCAACAAATGAAGCGACCCAGACTGAACGAAGACCCAGATGACTATTCAACAAATCAAGAAACAAAGCGACGGTTGACCGTTGATGCTCCAAATGAAGCCCACCCATCTTCGCATGATCAGGATGCAGCATTCATGGAAGCCATGGCCTGTTCCGAGGTTTCTGTTGATTGGGGCTGGAACGATACCGATAGAATCGAGTTTCAGCTTTCGGAGCAAATTGATGAAGACATGTCTGGACTCGGCCCTGAAGCGTATGATAAGGTGGATGTGCTACAGCACGACTCTCGCCATCACGAATTCGAGATGAAAGCTGCACAGGATATCAGCCCTGAGTCTGAAGAGTGTAGCCTCGAAATTGTTTGCTTCGGAACAGTAGGTCCTCTGCGAAATCCATGCTTTGTATTAAATCATATACTCACCTGATTAGATACCCTCCCTACATGGGAGATGTGCCAGGTCCTCTTCATTATCTCAAAGATTTTCAGTCACAATAACCTCCTCGGAACGGTTTCATGCTACTGACAATCAGCAAGTAACCGGAATAATACCACCGCAATACGGTCGCATGGTGAAGAGCTTACTTGACGAGAACGCTCTTATATTGTTTGCCTATTGTACCATAGACACCGATGTAACTCAAAAACATCCGTCAGGCCCATATTCCCAAATATCTTGTACCTTAGACGTCACGGTTTATGGTCCCAATGATCTCTTCGAGAGCATTGGCTCTTGGCTTCAAGATTACGATGTCTATCTGCAGGATCCTAGAACCATCGATTTGGATGTGAAGTACCGGAACCCCCACCGACTGTCCTCGACTGAACTCAGCTCCTGTCCATCAGTATCCATGGTCGTTTGGTTGAGTACTGATACTGTACAATTTCTGAAGATCGAGGACCGACCCGAGCCACTGGATATGATTAGTGGCCAAGATGATCTCGAGGAGACTGCAGCACCCAAAATGATACGAACAGTTCTACACAGGTATGATTTCCATTAAATTTGACTATTGTATATTCACATCTCAATTTAGACATCAAAGGCAAGCACTCACATTTATGCTTGGCAGGGAAAGGGGATGGGCGTTAGAGACCAAAGGAGCGGATGTGTGGGAGGCATTGGATTCAAGTCACGACAGAAAGTAAGCTTTCCAACTGGCCTTACCTAGCGTTGGAGTAAATCACGTCGATGGGGGTCCTCCAACACCTCATCAGCATTTCGAATCGATTGACGAAAGTCTCTATGCAGGGTTCAAGTACTGATAAAGCACCAGATTCATTAACCGAATTCTGGGCAATCACCAAGATACGGCGCCGCCACCCTTCTATGGGGGTATTATTGCGGATCCTATGGGTCTCGGGAAAACTCTACCTATGGTAGCTCTGGCGGCCAGCGATCTGGAGCCTGGGGCTGCAGTTGTTACAGAATACGATCTGCTAAATGTTTCAGAGGATCCAATGCCCACGGTTTCAGCCACTTTGGTCATCGTGCCACAACCACGTAAGACATAGTTGTCACGATTTTGCGGTACATACTAAAGATCATAGTCCTGAGTACATGGGAAGAGCAAATCAAAGAGTAAGTATGATTGTTATGTATAAATTTACGTAGATGGCTAATTATGGTCGAGCCATATCGAAGTGGATGGACTGAAGGTTCGACGCCATCACGGAAAACAACGGCTCAGTCTCATTGAGCAGATCAACGCGGCTAATATCATCTTGACGACATATCACACAGTCCGTGCAGATTGGCAAAAAGGAGAAGTGCCAGCTAATAGTATACTTTTCACCGTTCGATGGAAGAGAATCATCCTTGATGAAGGTAAGTCTTTCCGAGTCACGTGGAAGCTTACACATACATGCTGGACCTGGACACTGATCGTTGATAGCGCATCTCGTTCGCAACATGAAAACACGAATGGCTCGCTCGATCTGCAGTCTCGAGTCCGTCTCTCGTTGGGCAGTCACTGGCACGCCTATTCAGAATCAGCTCAGTGACCTGACCGCCCTCCTGAAGTTCATTCGAGCCTATCCCTATGACGATCCGAAGAAGTTTGACACAGACATATCACAGCTCTGGAAATCTGGAGAAGATGAGGAAGCTGTGAAGAGACTCAAGCGGCTTTCGCGTTGCCTTATATTGCGGAGGGCAAAACACACCATTACTTTACCACCGCGACATGATGTCCGGTGCCCAGTTGAGTTCAGCAAAGCAGAGAGGGCTTTATATGACAACATTCGTAACCAAACTATCATCAAGATGGATGATGCATTGGCCCAGGACACTGATACTTGGCAGCGAGGTTTGTACGGTAACTTTCTCCAGCAAATTGAATCAATGCGGTTGGTGTGTGACTTAGGTCTACACTATACTTCACGCCATGGCAAGATGAATACGCGAGAAAAGGACAACTGGGCTGATGACGCTCGACAAGCCTTCAGAGTTAAAGGCCAAATGGGAACTATCCGTTGTACCCTATGCCATTCAAGCTTGGATGTCACTGAAAGTCTGGGTGATGACGCCGCGCCTCATTACACTGCTCATCTTTTCTCGTGCCTCGAATATGCTTGCGCGGAATGCTCCTACAAGAACCGGAAGAGCATTCAGAAAATGCCATGCGGGCACACACCCAATTGTCCAGTCACACCAATATTAACCGGTAGCAGCGCATTTGAGGAGATGTCCGGCGACATCACGGAAGGCCTGAGGCTGGCTCATCACCCCGAATTTCCTTCAAAGATAAAGGCCCTGATATCAGATTTGGAGCAGCCAAAAAATAAGGATGCAAAATGGTGTGTCAATCTTGATTGCTGTGTGTGGTTCGAAGCTGATGTGATCAGCATCGTCTTTTCTACTTGGAGAATGACCTTGGACATTATCGAAGCCGCGCTAGAACAAGCCCAGATTCGGAGTGTCAGGTTCGATGGAAAAGTAGCTCAAACTCAACGCCAGCCAGTACTGAACGAATTTAAGTCGAACCCGAACGTTCGTATCATACTGCTCACTTTAGAATGCGGTGCTGTTGGGTCTGTAGGACCTCCTGCTTCAATCAAAAATGCTAATTGTATAATCAGATTGACGTTGACAGCAGCTTCACGGGCATATCTGATGGAACCCCATTGGTGCGCAGTTACAAGAATGCTTCGAGCTATAGGAGCTGATTTTGACTTCTAGGAACCCAACGGTGGAAGAGCAAGCCTTGGCCCGTATCCATCGCATTGGACAAAAACGCGAAGTCACCACCATTCGCTTTTATATTCGCGATTCATTCGAAGAAAGAGTCATTGAGACTCAGGAAGCCAAGAAAAACCTTGCCAGTGTTCTTCTTTCAGGACATGACGGTGGACAAGTGGACAATAGTCTTGGAGCATTACAGGCAAGTGGCAACAATAAATTAAACCCATAGAACACATACTGAACGTTTATAGAGACTGAGGTCATTATTATAATAACGCAAAAGACGTGACTATATTCATTTCTTTGGTCTTTTGCGAGCTTTGCAGTATAAATAGGAGAGCCTTTCAAGAGCAAGGGTTCAAGATTCTGGGAGCGAGACTAATAGATTACGTTGCCCCTAGAAACTAGCGTGCACAGCTACCGGTATATTACTAAGGGCGCTGACGCAATACTATTTAGTCTTCATCTTTTGCTTGTAATCGGACTGCCACTTCACATGTAAGCTATCGCGATCCGACGTGGAGATGGATTTCAACTTGCAATTCTCCACGAACAATATTTGACCAAGCATCCGCTTCGAAGGTCTCCTATGGTATGTACGAACTGATTGAAGATATTGAGCCATTAGAGTGGTACGATGCTGGAGGCTACTACCCCGTTTAGATCAGCGACCAATTCTCTCCGTCTCATTATCGCGTTGTACACAAACTGGGCTATGGGAGTTGTTCTACCACATGGTTAGCGCGTGACGAGCGCTTGGCCAATTACGTCGCGATTAAATTCGCCGTGTCAGAGCTTGATCGTTCATTTGAGAGCGCCATACTGAGGATTTTGCGGGATGATGAGGGATGCCATGCCACAGCGGATGCTAGTTTAGCAATGATACCAGAGATATTGGATGACTTCCAATTGGAAGGCCTGGATATACAGGGCGCAATGAGAAAACATCACTGCTTGGTCACCACGCGAGCAAGGATGAGCATCTCAGAAGCGCGAGATGCATCCCGTAGCCTGTTGTTCCAGCTTTCAGTGGCTCGCACCATTGCTGCTCAGCTTATTCAAGCTGTCGCCTTCGTGCACTCTCGTGGCATCATTCACGCAGGTAGGTAACCAGGCTGGTCACATTGAGTTCTGGCCGTGCCTTGCTAACTACAATTTCAGATCTTCATGAGGCCAATATCCTTCTTCGTCTGCCCGATTCCATCGACAACCTTACTCCAGACCAGCTCTATGAAAAGTATGGGCAGCCTGAGCTCGAGTGAATAAAACGGGTGGACGGAAAGCCTCTGGATCCGTGGGTGCCTAATTATGGTGTCTTACCAGTTTGGTTTGGAGATGCTAGCGACACTATCTCGCTCGCTGACTCACGCATCTTCTTAAGTGACTTCAGTGAATCGTTCCAGCCCGAAGTAGGCGTACAACAGTCTTCTCACACACCCTAATATTAAGATCACCAGAGATACTCTTAGAGCCAACGTCATATGTTCATTCCCGGCTGATACCTGGAGTCTTGCATGCGCGGTCTTCGCTATCATGGGTCAATGACCCCTGTTTGACACTTGGCCCCCGGGTAAGGACGATGTTCTTTGAGAACATGTTGACGCGTTGGGTTATTTGCCTAGCGAGTGGTGGGCAAGATGGGCGAACAAAGATCAGTACTTTGATGATCAACTTCAATTAATTGATGGATCGCCGCGTCTCCTGCTAGAAAATTGGCTGGAGGACTCAATACACAGAGACAATCTGAGATGGCGGAGATGGATGAGGAAGAGAAGCAAGCCTTCCTTATGCTAATGAGGTCGATTTTATCATTTAGGCCCGACGATTGAACTTCGGCGCAACAGGTTCTTGAATCCAGTTGGATGCAGAACTGGGCTGGACCGGCGATGGATTTGGCGAAGGAGAATGTTAGTACTCTGAAAACTCATCGCTAACTATATAAGTATAGTATATTGCAGAAGTAATGTCTGTTATCGGACCTTATTCAAAGGCTTCCTGTAAAGAGCAAGACAGCCGTTAGTATTGGGACCTGGATCAAGATCTATGGGACTCCTTGCTTTCATTCGAAGTCTTACGCTGGTTTCAAGGAGAAAGACCCTTGGCAGGAAGCCTTTGAAGGTTGGATTCTTTGTAAGATCAAAAGCACAAGTTGAAACTGCGCAAATAAACCTTGACGCCCACCTGGATAGTGCGATATATCTATGCCCATCGTGTTGCCCACCTTGATGCCCACCTCGATACTGCGATATATAGACAACTAGTATAGATATACCACACAATCAATGTGAACATAGATATGTCGCGATAATTAGCCTTTTGTTTTATTTTTTAGTTTTCAATTCCTCGTTGTGGTTGTAGTTGTGGTTTCCGGCCGACCACATGTAATCGGGCCCACTCGGATGCCTATCGTGGAACCCTGATGATGTTAACCAAGTCGAGCCTAGTACCGGTTAGACGATCACGACTGGATTCACGATTCACGGGCGGGACGTTTCAAGGTTTATGGACGGCAAGGAAGTTTTTGGCGATCCACACGGGACACCTGTCGGCGGAAATGAGGCCGGGCTGCGAATACGATACGCGCGAGTGAATGGATTCACATACCCACCCATCCGCCTGGATTTGTATGTACTGAGTGGGCGCTCGAAAAACCTGCTTTTTTTCAGGAGACGTGCAGGGAACGCTTCAATAGGAGACGGTGTGTGGTGTTGCCTTTTTTCCATGGGCTGCAGGCGCCAGCTACGAAACTGTCATGGCAAATGTATGCGACGGGAATGTGTTCCTTTCAAACGTTCGTCAAGGCTTGGTGTAGGCAAGGGGTACCGAAAGGCTGATTGAACGAGGCTGCCTACCTAGAGAAGCAATGCATCAAATGGTGACTGAAATTTGTGGCTTCATATCTACCGGGATACTGCGCTAACTCCAGCTGCATTGTTGGGCCATTCTGTCTAAGACATCAATTGAAATTGTTACCTGGCATCGGAGGAGATGGGTTCAAACAAGCCGGCAGCAGCAATACGAAGGCCAGCGATCCAATTGTTGTTACACACAATGGGATGAAAGCGAAAAGAACACAGTAGGTATTGCGCAATTGGCATGGCCTCACTTCGCTCCATCCTCGGCCGGACCAAGCGGTAGAAGGAGCTTAAGCCCAAGGGGTAGAGGCCAGTGGAAAAACTACCCGACGATGGGCAGCCAGTCTCCCGCTCAGCCAAAGAAATCCTACTTCTTGTTGTTGCGAAACAGCGCTACCTACCTATGTGAACGGATTCAAGAGTTAGAACAGTGGATCACGTTTCATGCATGAGGCGTACCGGTACCGGCAGATAGTACAAGCAAGTTGGCGCCGGCATCTTCAACTCGACAAGCACTTTCCAAGAGGCGAGAAGCCTCAAAAGGCGTCCTCGGCAGCACGAACGTTTGTTGTCCAGCGGGTCACACATCCACTCCTTCAAGAGAAACAATACCTTACTCCAGCCATGGCCGCAAGTACCGCGTGCTCGTCCCTCGAGCTTGCATGCCACAAGGACTCGTGGGCATCCTCGCACTCGTCCCCCTTTACCATGCGCTTGACGTAGCACGGCTGCCTTGGCGATGGACCTGGCCGCGGAGCCAGCACCGTGGCAACTCTGTGCCATGTTTGTTATTGTGTATTGAGCAACGGCTTGTTGCCGTGTCACCAGTGCTACCGGTACTGCGTGGTCTCCCATCCACCCTTGTTTCGCACGTTGTTACCGCCACATCGTGATGGATTCAAAGTTTCAAGATGCGCTGGTCACGCAGCGAACAGTCACGTCCTCGCATTCGGACACTCCTAAAAGGCACTCTCTGAAGGCGGGCTACTCCTTGATCCTACGGTCAGACAGACAGACATGATCATTGTTTTAATTAGAGCCAAGGCAAATAGTTGTCTGTTTCTGGCACAAGGGCGGGGCCTCTAGGTCTCACAGTCCACAGCTGGATGGCACCATGCCTTCTAGAGCGAAAGCCAGCACAGCGGTTCCAGAGCCGTCAAGATGCAACTCCAGGGACCCGCACGACTATCTTTACTTTTGCAAGGTTAGCCTGGTCTATTGAAGGAAACCTTCGATGCACCAGTGCTTCGACCCAAGTCCGTTTTGGCACACGCCTTGCAGGGATCGCTGGCAGGTCCTCTGACTTCGATCATCCCTCCTCCATAAGATGAGGCTACACCCAGGTTACAGTAAGGTCCCCTCCACCTTCTCCGTGACGAAGTCTCATTCCACCGCTTTTCTTGCGGCCGTCCTTCGTTTTCCCCATACTTTGTGCGTAGTCGATTCGGTCACCGCTATCCACTCGCTCGTACTCCACTTTCGTTTACCCAAATCTATCATCAATCAGTAATACAATCGCAAGACTACTTAACCCATAATGCACCACACAGCTCTCGCTGCCTTGGCGGCACTCACCCCCCTTGTTCATGCCCACGGTGTCGGTCTCCCCAAAATTGTAGGATTGAACCCACGGGATCTCAAAGCAAGGGAATTGCTTGGTAACCTGGGAGCACGATTTGCGGAGCCCCATGAGTTCCTCAAGGCACCTGAACAGAAACTCCAGGCTCGCCAAGACGACCGCCGATGCGGAGCTGGCATTGGCTCTTGTGCTGCGGGCGAGTGTTGCTCCGAAGGAGGCTGTAAGTGAATGTTATGGACCTAAGCAGACGGACGCTGACGAACGCTATAGACTGCGGGACCGATGACGACTTCTGCTACTCCCCCGGATGCAACTATGCATACGGCCCAGGGTGTCCAGACAACGTTACTCCCAGTGGCACGAACACTTCCAGCATTGCACGTACCAAAGTTGGAGATGTCCTGTATGGCGGAGACGGTATCTACAACTGTGTGAAACCCGGCACTGTTGCGCTCACCTACGACGACGGCCCACAGAAGGTCTTCACTTCCCACATCTTGGACGTCCTGGACTCGTATGGCGCCAAAGCCACCTTCTTCGTAACAGGCAACAACATCAACAAAGGGCAAATCGACACCACGCCCGAATTCGTCGCCGACATCAAGCGCATGGACTCGGAGGGCCATCAGATTGCCTCGCACACCTGGACCCACTTGGACCTCAGCGCCGTCTCCCAGCTCGACCGCAAAAACCAGATGTGGAAGAATGAAATGGCGATTCGCAACATCATCGGCAAGATCCCCACGTACATGCGTCCACCTTACTCGAGCTGCACAGGTCAATGCGAGACCGACATGGCCGACCTAGGCTACCACGTCATCTACTTTGACGTTGACACAGACGACTACAACCAGGACTCGCCCGCCCAGATCCAAAACTCCAAACACTGGTTCCGCGGCAACATCACGCAAAACGGGGCCAAACCGGCATCCAGCCAATGGCTCGAAATCGGCCATGACATCCACGAGCAGACGGCCATGAACCTGACCGACTACATGCTCTCCACCCTCACCCAGCTCGGCTACAAGGGCGTCACCGTCGGCGACTGTCTCGGTGACCCAAAGGCAAACTGGTACCGTGTTGCCGGAGGCGCAGGATCCGGCACTGGCACCGGCACCTCGAACCCACCAGCCGGCTCCTCGACACCCCCTCGCGCCTCCACCGCCCCTTCATCTGGAAACCACAAGATGACAACAGACGCCACATGCGGCGGAAAAAACAAATACACATGCCTGGGCAGCTCCTTTGGCAACTGCTGCTCCACAAACGGCTACTGCGGCAGCACCCCCGCCTACTGCGGAACAGGCTGCCAACCGGACTTTGGAAACTGTGGCTCCAACGGCTCGGCACCCTCCAAGGCTTCTCCTAAGCCCTCGCCCTCGCCTGCCGCTACCTCGCCCGCCACCGGTGCGGCTAAGGTCTCAAAAGATGGACGTTGTGGCGGCAAAGGGAAGTTCACTTGTGCCAAGTCGTCGTTTGGCAATTGCTGCTCGCAATACGGGTACTGTGGGTCTACGGCTGCGTACTGCAGTGCGCCGGCGGGCTGCCAGGCTGGATTTGGGTCATGTACTGCGTAGAGGAATGGGAAGTGCGTGCGGAGTACTGGCGTGTTTGTGTAAAGAAAAAAGGAAGAATGGGGTTTACGTGGCGTAATTGTAGTAGAGGTGTGGGTGAAGGGAGATGGCGTCTAGGAGCCTAGACCTGGATATCGCGTTGTAAGCCGTATTGTACCTGTGCAAATCAAATCAAATCAACCCAGTTCCTGGGCTATGGCCAGTCATCTGGCCTGTCTTGACTATCCATCTCTGTATGCTTGAAAGTGAGTGGGATTGTTGGACGTGGGGAACAGAGGGGGGAGTGGTATGGGAATAGATATGGGCATGGGGCCGAGAGGTCTTGTTTTTATAGAGATGTTGTGGAAACTAGAAAGAAGAGGTGGTGAGTTAGGTCTATCGTAGAGGTTATTGATTATTCCCCGTATGATGCTTATACCATTAATTCATCAAAGATGACTACAAGCCACACCTCTACACAGCCATCATCCCACTACCTCTCAACCGTAATCATCCACCCATCCCCGTACACTCCCCCATCTCCAACCCCACCCCACACCACACACGTCGCCCCATCCACCTCCGTCCCCCTCGCCGCCGCAAACCGCGCCCGTGCCCCGATACCTCTCGCCGACACGCCCGCCGACTCCTCCTCCTCCCCCTTGGCATCAACATGGCGGCACATGACCTGGGCCCATTGCGCCTCGTGCGTATCCTGCTTGATGCGGGCGCGGATCCCATCTTTTATGGCGGCAGCGGAAGAGCGCTCTGGTGCGAGTTGCAGGGCCCAGATGTCGTCGAGGTAGGTTCCGGGGGCAGACTCGCCGCATAGAGCGAGGAGGTAGTGGCGGCCCTGGCCGGTGGTGACATCTACGAGGCCAGCGCCTGAGCGCGCTGATGGTGCAATGGAGGCGGAAGGTTCCCCACTGCTGGTATGTTCGATGGCTTTCCATGCCCAGCCCGCGGTGAGCGGGGTTGTCCCACCTTGGGCATGTTGCCAGACGTGGGAGGCGTCGAGACACTGGATTGAAGCTGTAGTGGAATCTCCTGTACTCTTGCCCCCGAATAGATAGAGATATTCGCCCACGACAGATGCGCTTGCACCCTCTGTCGCCGGCCCAAGGGGCGAAGGTATGGTGCTCCAAGTCCGGGTTTTGACGTCGAAAGCCCACGCATCGTCCAGCAACTGACCAGTCGAAGTATCACGACCGCCTAGGACGAAAATAGTGCCCCAAGAGTCCGATTCAGCAGGCTCAGGAACGAATTTCGCGGGGTCCGCGGGCGCCTGGGGAGCTCTCTCATGGTACGTCGTAGTCTTTGGTCCTGGGAGATCCGAGCTCGCTGAGGCGTGAGCGGTGCGCTGTGCTGGGAACGAAGTGCCTGGCGCAGGATCCAGATGGGACCATGTGTTGGAGACAGTTGAGTAGACCCAAATTCTTCCCTTTTCGTTGGCTACCCCATCGCCCTCACCACCGAAGATGTAAATACTGTCACCGATCACCACAGCCGCATGCCCTTTCCTTGGACTAGGTAGATCGTCGTACCCGTTCTCTGCGCGGGCTGCGAAGGTTGTATAGTCTGCTTCGAGGACGCCGCTTGAAGGGAGAATCACAACGTGCATGGTGTTATCGGCAAGTTTGGCAGATTCCACCTCCCCACCAAAAATGTATGCGCGGCCTTTGATTACAGAAATGGTATGCTCTGATCGAGGCAAGGGGATGGTTGAAATATGCGTCAAATTTGCCTTGATGGGGAGAGTTGGATGTTTGATGCCCTTCACTAGAGCCACAGCGCCTTCGAGCAGATGCTCTGCAGCGGAAAGCACTCCAGTGGCAGCCGGCTCCATTGTATTCTGCTGGGTATGTAGTTGCTTAACAATGTTGTGTAGGTTTGGATATGCGAGAAGTGGTGGAAGTGACAAGAAAGGAACATGCAAAGTGGAGATAGATTCCAGTTGAGTATGTGATGTACGTACGGCAGCTCACGGAATAGCCGCAGATGTCTAGTAGTATGTGTGTGACGTCATAGCGTGACACGTAATGTTCCCTGTTTATCAAACGCTGTTTGGCCGTGCAGGTCCATTCGTATATTGGCCCAAAGTATGCTGTTCAGCATCATAACAGGATGGTACACAAGAGTCAAATCTCCTGATATCATGTGATCTTTGTGCAAAATCTCACCTTTCCAAGACTCCCAGAGATTGAAGCATTACATGTGACAAACAAACCGTCTTCAGCATGTTCACATATTGCACCAAACGTCATGCAGTATGTTTGCTGAATCGTCTAATAAAAATACAACGGCAGCTCGGAAGAATATCGAAAATTATCCAAGCTGCCAAGAACCCAAAAGAAATACATCTAGATATTGGGCGACAGTTGGTCAGACTTGACGCATCGCTCCACCTGAGAGTCATTAGAACTTGTCAACCCTTTCCAATAACAACGACTTACCGAATCTATTGAAGCCTGCAAGAAACTGCGTGCCTCAAGCCCGACCCAGACTTTCAGCATCGAAAAATCTCCTCCGCGGATCATCGAGGACCCACTCTGAGCACCCAGCTGTCGAAGAATAGGAAGAGCGCTGAGCGATGATTAGCCATGCTTGTTGAATCCTTTGCCCGTTTTCACTTACCCAGCAAAGAGATCTAGATCAGGGTTCAGGCTCCGGCCTATACCCTCGAGCAACAAGATGCTAAGCACAACATTCACAAAGTCGCCTTCAAGGCGAACGTGATGCGTCCTCACCATGGACAAGACTTCGTTAAGAATATCACCAATCTTGATGTTGCCCAGCGCGAAAGTACGGCTCTTGACCCCCAGCACCAAATGCTGCATGCGGAGCGCAAAGACTTCACCGTCTAGGACGGCATCTGGTTGTCTGCAGCGCTCCGTCATCAAGTGGCCCGCCTTGTAGCCGTCAAACTCTGCAACAGCTTTGAAAAGATCGAGAAAGTTTGCGCGATTCTTCGCATTCAGTTCGGTGACTAGGCCAGTGTCGATGAAGATGAGCTGAGGCCGATATCCTTCCTTGTCAATCTCTTGTAGCTTAGCTCGCCATCGTTCGGGATCTTTTCTGTGGGGCCGTAACCGCTCGAGGACTTCCTCGGTCACATCTCGCGATTCCGTGGGCCCGGTAGTGCGATTTTCCTTTCGTGTAAAGATGGAGACATCCAGCTGTTCTGGCTTGTAGAAGCGTACCATGATGTTTCCCGGGTGCAAATCGGCATGGATGAAGTTATCAATGAGCAGCATGGTGAGAAAGGCGTCAAGGCCTTCGTCAGCAATGTCCTTTTGGAAGACCCCGCCACCGTTCTGCAGGAAGTCCTCCATCGGTATGCCTTGCGCGAACTCCTCGATCAATACATTGCGCGTAGTATATTCGGTATAAGGAAATGGGAACCAGGCCGTAGTACGGTCCTTGAAATTTCGGCGGAACAGGGTGAGATTTGCCGCCTCGATACGGAGGTCTAGCTGCAGTCGCATCATTTCACCAAACTGCTCGACCTCGTCGGGGAAGGACAGCCACTCCATAGTAGGTACAGCATTGATGATGGCGGCAAAGAAAGCCATGATGCGCAAATCTCTGCGGACAATCTTCTCAATCTTGGGGTGCAGGACCTTGACGGCGACATGCGTCGACGGGACCCTTGACGGTGTGTTCTTGAGCGTGACGTCGACGTTCTTTTTGATCTTCCGGACAAGATTCGGCTTCTCTTCGGCACTGATGGTGTCGTTCAATGTGGCCAGATGAGGTTTTAGTTTCGCCTTGTAGACCTGAGCGATGGCACCCACTCCGAGTGGAACATCGTCAAACTCCTCGAAGATGTCGTCAAAGGATTGGCCGTCAAAGGCAGCCTCGATGGTTTGCTTTGATATGCTCAGTGGATGTGCGGGTGCGTTGGAATGAAGAGTGGACATGATGGAGCATAATTCGGTGGGGAAGACGTCAGTTCGTGAGGCTGCCCATTGCCCCAGCTACATCGCAGTCAGTGGACATGGACAAGACGATGGTTTGCCACATGAAAAACGGACCTTGATAAAGGCAGCACCGGCTCTCTCCATGGACAGCACCAGAAAGCCGTACCACCACAAGGTCCCACTGCGCTCATTATCGCGATGAGGCTGCTTTGCCCCCAGCCAAATCGCGGGGATGCTAACAATGACCGGCACGAAAATGATGATGAGATGCAGAAAGCGGATGCCCGTCGCTATCGGCTCAATGATGTAGTCTTCAATGAAGAAGTACAGCCCCCGCTGGTACTTTGTCGAGTTCTCGAGGACTTTGGGAACATGTTCCTTCAGCTCTTTGCGCGACGCCTCCAGCATGGCCTCCTCGTGTGTCTTTTCCCCACTGTCCGACTGGTCATTGCCAATGGCCACAAAGGCCATCGGACTCAGTACCGCACCCGCCGCCGCCGCACCAGTAGCCGCCCCCGACCATCGTATCGTCTTACCGCGGAATCGTGGTGTTGCGAATAGGCGGCTGAAGGCGGAGGCGTTGGAGTGGCAGCGTCGCGTGCTGGTACTGATCCGGCTGCTGGCAGCGGAAGACGCAAGACGTGGAAGATATTGGCGAAGACATTGGCGACCAAGCAAGACGGTCGTCCTCATGGTGCCGTGTTGCGGACGGGAGCAGCGCGTACGATTGCCATGACGTCTCAATGGAACGAGACTAACTCACCTGTGGACGTTGGCTGACCGTGACGTCGATCGGCGTTTTCAATCATGTGACGCCGGTCGAGATGCACATGCACTCCAACACCATCCGACATCTACCGAGTACACCGGGTCTCCTAACAGATGAATTTCGAGTATGCCCATCCACGGCATTTTACTCATCCCGAATCAAGTCAATTTTTTCACCAAGATAAGCATCAGAATGTTGGCATGTTCATCTGCATTGGTATCGCATTAATTCCAACCCAATCAAGCCGTAACGAACCCCTCAAACCCATTGTCCAGCGCCCGTCTAATCGCCTTGGAGTACTCTGGAAACCCGCCCGCAAAACTCAACTGCTCACGAACCTTTCCAGGTACATTGTCACCCATATACCACGACTGTAGCATCCACGTCAGCACAAGTCTGTCTCTCTCCAATCTAGGACGTAGAACTGGACTTACCTTGGTCTGCGGGAACAGAGTCTTATCCGAGAACTTGATGACCGTTTCCCGCCACTGCTTCTCAGCTTCGTGTGTTGCATCGCAGTAGTCGAGTCCTTGGCCACGCAGCTTAACAATGGCGTCTACGATCCAATCGCCCTGGACTTCGACGCACGTAGGGCCGTTGGAGAAGGCGGTGGGGCCTTGGGCACCGTAGAGGAAGAAGCAGTTTGGGAAGCCGCTGATGGTCATGCCCAGGTAGCTGTACGTGCCATTCTTCCACTTGTCTGCTAGGAGAACGCCGTCGACGTTCTTGAGACCCATGTTCTTTATGCCACCTGTAATTGAGTCGAAGCCGGTGGCCAGGGCGATGACGTCGAATTCGTGCAATCGGCCATCTGCTGTTAGGATGCCATTTTCTGTCACTTCTTTGATGGGGTACTTGTTGATATCAACGACCTTGTTCTCCGGCCGGTCGAGCATCTCGTAGTAGTTTTGTTCCAGACTGGGTCGCTTCGTGCCAAAGGCGTGGGGTGGCTCCAGCGGTGCAAGAATCTCACGTTTCTCCGGGTCAGTGATTCTGGCGCGAGTCTTCTTGGCCCAGAAGTTGTAGGCTTCGCGGTTGGCCTTGCTGTCGAATAGGAGGTCCTGTGTTTTGTTAGACGATAGTGCAACAACACTCACGATATGGATTAGACTGACCTTGTAGTTGGCCAGCCAAAACTCAAACCCGCCATTCTGCCACCTCTCCTCGTAAAAGGCCTCACGTTCCTCTGGCGTGTCATCAAAAGTCTCCTTTTGGACATAGTCGTATCCGAAGCCGGCGAATGTGGTCAACCGATGCTTGAACAGCTCTTGATACTCTCCCTGCTTCCTCTTATCCTGTTCCTCTTTTGTAAGATCTTTCTGCTGCATCGGAAGGCAAAGATTCGGCGTCCTCACAAACTGCGTAATACTCGCAGCCGTCTTTGACGTCTCCTGCGCAATCTGAATACCAGTCGATCCCGTACCAATCACCGCCACCCGCTTGCCCGTAACATCGACCCCCGACGCCGGCCAAAACGAACTGTGGTGAATCTCACCCTTGAACGTCTCCATGCCAGGCCAATCTGGAAAATGCCGCTTGGCTGCGAATCCCAGCGCGAGCAGGAGATAGTTGCACGTTGCCGTCCTGCCATCCTCGGTCTGGACCTTCCATTTCCCAGACGGCTTGTCGAACTGGGCTCCCACGACGCGGGTGTTGAATGCACAATCCTTTTTGATATCCAATTTCCGCTCAACGTGGTCAAAGTAACTCTGCAGCTCCTTTGTCCCCGGATACCGACACGACCATGTCCAATCCTTGTCTCTGTGTCAGTTTTTTATCATGTGACAACATCATGTCAAGTTTCTCAACGCATATCCATCCTCCAACTACCACATCAGACATACCTTCCACACCTCCGGTAAAGAGTACTCATAAATCGGCACCTGTGAATCCACACGTGCCCCCGGATAGCAATTCCAATGCCAAATACCACCGAGATCCGACCCGGCCTCGTAGATTTTGCACTTGAACCCCTGTTGACGGAGTTTGTGCATCAGGTATATGCCACCGAAGCCTGCACCGACGATCAGCACATCGGTGTCGAGACGGTTTACATAGTTTTCCTTGTCTGGCGCTGCAGGCTCGTTGGCTGCGCTTATATCTGTGCGGAAAGGCAGCATTGTTGCAGGGAAAGTGGTACCGGTATGGTATGGTCGAATATAGTATATATCAAAGCCAGGATCAAGACGACGACAAAACTTTATACATGTGTGAAAAACAAACAACCTTCTCAACCCCCCCAAATCCATCCCCCGCCATCCCCACACTCCTATATACCCACCCCTTCCCTCCCACTGCAAGGCTCCCCACTACCAACGCACCCACACCTGTCGCGCATGCAGTAGAACGCAATAGTCCCAGTATCCAAGCATACCATCCTTCCATATTCCATCTGATCTTCCCGCCTCGCCAATCCAACCCAAACTAGCCCCATACCGTACCGTTGATCCCCACCCCCAGCACGGTTTGATTGGCCGGGTAAGACGTCATGCAAGTATAGTATAGTCTGCTACTCTACAGCTACTAGACGTACAGGACTCTACTCCTAGATACGGCAGCACCCGGGAATAAGGTGAGGGCGGGATGTATTCCGTTTTTGAAGGGGGAGGATGTGCAGGTGCTGTTTGCAGGGGAGGTGTTGATGCCGGGGGCCGGTGTTGGGGAGGGTTCCGGTAACTGGATGAGGTAAACTTCTATGATGGGGGGATGATGAAGTACCCATGTACTCTTGGTCATCATCTGGGTTATCCAGTGCGGGGGCGTTGTGTCTGTACTTGTGCCCATACCGGTACCGGTACCGCGCAATGGAAATGGAAATGGAAATCCTTGTAGGGTAGTGTACTAAACTGGTACCTATGTACTCCACTCCATGTACCCTACCCTACCCTACCTCCAAACCCATCCAACATCCCCAGCCCTCAAATCACACCCATGTGCCAACGTATCCTCGTTCAAACTCTGGGTTTTCTACGCGCAGGACAGACAAGTGTCGGTCTAGGGATTCTGGCTACTGGATTCCGTTGAGACTCAGGTTAAGCTTCACGCGGCTTTCGGGCTGCATGGGTGGTGATGTGGAGGCGTGTGGTATGTAGCCTATGTGATGTGGGATAGTAGTGCACGAGTACCGTGCAGTCATGTGCAGCGAACGGTGCGCACGAGTCATGCGTACGAGTACGTTTGTCGCCTTGATGAGTAGGTACATGTTTCTTTTATCGGGGGGAGAGTGGTTGGAGTGTACAGCAGCGCGTATGGTTTCGCCCTCAGGGAGATGGGGGAGTGACAAGCAACAGATGATGTATTTGTGAATGCGAGGTCCATGGTCATTTGCACTTTTAAGATCAACGTGGAGATGGGATCACTACTACTACCTGACAGTAGGCTTCCATCGCAACAACAGTCACCTGGGCAAAAGAGAGATGGTGAGCAGCTCATTGCATGTGTAGATCTCGATTCAGATCAAAGACATGCACCAAAAGAACCTCCTGAATTCAAAACTCGCAATTACTCAGAACCGTCGTCGTCGTCGTCATCGTTGACGACAGGGACTGGTTCCTCTTTCCCGGTTGTCTTGACCTTTCTGTCCTTTTCGGCGCCGGCTGGCTTCTTAGCAGGGGCGTTTGCGTCCTCGTCTTCGTCGTCAGATTCCTGGGGGGCGGCTGCATCATCGTCCTCGGAATTCTCTTCGAGTTCTTCCTCTTCTTCCTCGTCGGCAGAGTCTTCGTCGTCCTTGGCCTTGGTGCGCTTTGCTTTCTTCTTGGGCGCTGGGGGGGGGGGAGAGGCAGTGTTAGACATGGGCAGTGGCATCACGATGGGAATGGGACAAGATTTGGCGTGGAGACTTACGTGGATCTTCTGCGTCCGAGTCGTCCTCGTCAAAGGCGGAACCCTCCTCAGACTCGGCATATCTATGGGTGAATGGGGTCAGCTTTGTTGTTTTGGATGCGCGCAAGAAGAAGGGTGAATTGTTGAGCAGTCTACAGGCGGAAGTCACGGACAGTTTGAAGGCAGATTGTAGTCGCTCCTGAATGAATGGGACCGCGAGAGCCCAACCTTCATCACCAGACACGCAGCACAGCGAGCATGAATGGCAGAGACAGCATCAAGGCATGACGTCAAGAAAGCGCTCACTTACTCCTCCTCAGACTCGGATTCATCAGAAGGCAAAGCCACCAATTCCTCCTCCTCGTTCTTCCTCTTGCGCGTCGACATGGCGATTGTTTGGGTGGATGTGTGGGGATGTGGGAACGCGTTGGATGGTGGTCTTGAGGCGGCGAGGGTGAAGGACCAGCTGGGAGGGGGAAAGCGGAGAGAGAGATGGGGCGGGCGCGT